GCTCTTCTTGTTCAGTTCAAGTAAATGTAGTGTTAATTTCCGATACTACTTGATGCTTTTCCGTATCCTTGTAACATATGACACCATCTAAGCTTGAAGTCATAATTGGTGCATGTTTTGTTGATAATATTCTATCGTGAACATCTCTCCATTTTAGCATCACTATCATTTCACCTCTCTTCAATGGCCACGACATCACAAAACTTGGCATAAATTTTTTGTTGTCCGTACAATTTTAATGGCATGTGCCTTAAAATGTTAAAATTTACTAATTCATAGCTCGTGTAAAAGTTGTCGACAAAGTTCGTCCTTCATTTAATAATTTATTTGCAAGTTCAATGCAGACGTCTTCGGCTATGCCAACTTGCCTTCTTCCGCTGGTATCTTGTCCAGAATATATGTCCGCAGACCATGTGTACCCTTCAGTGGAGCACAATTTTGATACCATACTTATGCGATTTCGTTGGTATGCATTGCCTGAATATTAGTCGTCCCTTCCAAGGAATTGTCTCATCAACTACAATATCTTGGCTTGGTAAAAAAACTTTTTCGTAATTGTCTGTCAATATGTTTATGAATGGTAAAACTTTTCCAAGTCTGCTACTCTGTCCTATCGTTTCGTTATTTGCAAAATGCAAGTTTGCTAATAGTAATTCAAAACGATTACGGAGTATCCTGCTGCACGGAAATGAAAGATTGTAAATAGGGTCCGTTGATCAACATCTAACAAGCGGTGTCTATACTAAACCCATCCAAATCGTCCGATAACGTTCTGGCGCACCGACAGTCGGACTTGGGCTCCACAAGAAACTCAACCGAATCGCGCTGGGCGACGAACGTGTTAAGATTAAATTTATACTCGCATCGTGTTCTGCTTGTCATGAGTAGCAAATGTCTAAAAGAAATCATAAAACATCAAAACTTCATCATTCTTTAGGAAAATGAGTTTAAAGTTTAAAGTCCAATGATATGAAATCTCAGTTTATAATATGTTTATATGCTCGTGACTAAAATTAGGGGATCAAAAAATTTTAATTGAACGATTGTCAATCTTTGAACTGCTACAATTTCGTGATGAAACATCGTACGACAATAAACTTAGGCCCACTTTAAAGCTTGAAGTTTTTACTTTAACATATGTACATGTGTGAACATACGGTTCCCAAAAATTCCATTATATCAAAAAATGGAGTATAAAACCGAGGGTCGCCGTTCTCTTAGAAACTTTGAGAAATTCAAACAACTCTACGGATCTTGGATATAGAAAAAAGTTTCTTCTTTACGGAGATCTCTTAAAAGTTGACCTGTGATTTTTCCTTGCCGTTTTATCCCAGTTTGAATAGAAACTACATCGCCGGCATGCAAGGAGGTTTGCACAGTTGGACTTCTATCTCGTTTTTAAGTGCTCTTTTGTGTATTTCGTATATATTTGATTGGGTCAAAAATGCATTAGTGTGTTTAAAATAGTGTTATGGTAATTATATAGAAACAGGCAGACACCACTGATTTTGATAATTTTTACATATTGTTACAGATTTTACATCTTGAAACTCCTCTTCTACGAAACCGATCGTTGGATTGTGTAGAATAATTCTAATTAAACGTCGTTGTATTTAATTAACCCAATTTGCTCTCTGTCAAAATACAACTAACTGAACATCGGAGAATGGCATCCCCTTTTTATAGCAATGAACCGCGATTGTTTTTTCACCCGGATATCGTAGTAAGTGCTGGATCAGTATTTCAGGAAGTTGTAATTTCCACCCGAATATACTAGAAGGTGTTGGATCACTATTCTGGAAGTTGCAGTTTTCACTCTTATTGCTAGGCTAAGTACAAGGAGAACATGGGAAATTCATAATAATATGTTGTAAAATTTGACGTTTTGGACAACTTTTTCCTATACATATAACCGCCGCTTGGGCATAGTTTTCAAAATATTTGCAAAATTTCTTTGGTACTATTACAGTTTTGGTCACTTTAAATTCTTCCTTTTGCGAATCAAATTCATTCTTTTGTAGATCAAACTTACGAACTTTGTAGATCACATTTATTAAATGGTGAATTTGATCTGCGAAAGGATGATTTTGATTCGCAAAAGGGTGAATATAATATACAAAAACTGTACACTGAATTCTGTCTATACGTACGAAAACTGCTTGGACAATTTTATTGCACGATCATATTTATGGACATTGTTAGACTCGGAAAACTCTCATCTAACTTTTAACATAAGAATGAATTCCTTAACGATTTTAGTTTTCTGTGTAATATCCCAGTTTAACTAAAGTGTGTGTTTTTTGAAAACTGATGGTGATAGAGCAATTTCGTTTACTGATTTGTATTCAGAAAGCCAAACTCTACAAGAATTACACAATTAATATTATAGATTAGAGAAAAAATTAAAATTTGTTGGACAGTGTAATTTGTCAATAGGGAGATATCAATGGTTCGTGTAATTTGATCTGCCATTAGCAAATAAAAAATGCAGGGCCTATATTGTGGGCTATGTTGTTCGCTTCATGGATAGACACGTAAGGAAAAAGTTCTTGGGCATAACGCTTTACACAACATATTTCAAGATTATCAAAATCGGTTCGTAGTAGTTCGATAATTTTATTTTTAATTTTAACTTTGATTATATTACGCGACTTACTGATGAACAATCAGGTGATTAAATAAATTTTTAGCGTTATTATATAGTGTATTTAGTATTATTATATTTTCGTTTAAGGGATTAAAAATTATCCAGATGAAAGTTAATGCATAATGTATATCAAGCAGCATACATCATGTTGGTATTCATTGGTCTTGTGGTAACCCTTAAAAGCCTTGTGTAGGTCATGTTTAAATTATTAAGTAAGACTATATACTTTTATTACATATTCTTGTAACTGATGTTAAAACATTTTCAAAATATTGTGTTATTGGTATATACCATAACAAGATTGTTCAGTCAAACTCTGTGCATCATAGTGTTCTAAAAAGAATCAATTTTTGTGTGTAAAATACATATGTAAGTAGCATTTAGAAAATATTTTGACATCATCTAGGGGAATGTATTATAAAAGTTATCACATTTGAGAATTTAAACTTAATTTTCACAGGGCTTTTCAAAAGTACATCAATAGTAATGTTAGATATTACTTACATTAATTGTGTATGAATTGTTGATTACAGTTAATTACATATCTTTATTTATTTCTACTATTATGTTTGGTTTTGTATTACAATATCTAATAAATTTTTAAGTTGCATCCCAGCTATTATCCTGTTAAATTGTGTTTGAGGGTTAACACATTGTTGTATTAGATGTTGTATATCTGGATGTTTTTTTAATATATTTGTAGGTATATCATGTAGAAACCCACCAGGGAATATATTATTATTTAAGTTTAATGCTAATAATACCTGTAAATGTAAAATATTTTATGTAAAATTATAAAATTTGTTTATCAAGAATGATATTCAGGTATATTATTTTGTAATAAATTAGTAATATCCTTTTTAATAATAAAACTCAACCTTGCATATTGCATAGAAATTATGATCGCTGATTTTATGATTACATATGTCAGCATAGGAAAATGCCAGGCATTCTGAACAACTAAAGTTTTCAGTATTTACTTGTAATTGATTCCATGTAGTTAATCTTTCTAGAGAATATAAAATTCTTAATTAATTAATACTTAGTAAGGTATAGATATTAATTTGCATTTTATTCTCTTTCGTAGTAAATATAATTTTTTAAATTAAAAAGTTTATTACCTGTATGTTGCGCATTTTTATCAACAACAATAACATTTTCTAAATCCACAAATTTTGCATTGTTATTTAAATCAACTGCTATATTATCAGCAGATATATCAGTTAAATAAAAACCAAAATTTTCATTTTTATAAGTGAACTTGTAAGCAGCATCTAAAAGACTCGAAGCTATTTTAGCTCTATGTAACCATGGTTCATTATAGTAAGTAGCTAATGGTAATCCAACATATTCCTCAACTATGATACGTCCACAAGCACCAAAATATTTTGGTACTGGCCAATCTTTATCTGCAGGTAATATCTATAAGTCAAGGATATTCTGTTTTATATATTTTAATCTTATTACGTAGCAGTTGTTTACAATGCAAAATTTTATTTTAATACTTGATTGAGAGTGACAGTTAGATCAAAAGATTTATACTTATATTTTATCACCTATAAAAATGATATAAATAATAAAAAAAATGTAAAGTACAATACTTCTATCTGTATAAAAAGTAAGTTATAATATGATATGTATGTATGTATATATACCTGGAGAAGCAGAGGTTCGGGATTAAGAAGTGTTAATACCCAAATATTAATATCAAGTATTTTTCTATTAACATCTTTCATATTATAATATACATCTTTTAAAAGATCATTTAGATGTTGAATAGTAGGACAAAGCTTTAACCGATTAAAGTTATTGTTCATAAAATCTGAACTGACTTCTTCTTCGATAAGTTTATGAAAGTTGATCTTTATTGTCTTTTCTTCTACTTCCTTTACATTTATTGTGCAAATATGAGAAAAATTTGTATCTTTGCAAAGCATTTTATCAAATTCATCTAATTCAAAATTTTGTGCCAATTTCTTCAGAACAACACTACTTTTGTTGAAAGATCCGAAAAATACATTTTTTACACCGTAAAAATAGGCAAATAAGGTATAAAAATCATGAAGTATAATATCTACTTCATGAATGTAATTGCATGCAGAGACACCAAAACATACTGGACATTTATGTAGTTCTGTTAAACGATTCATGTCTGGTCGAAATGTAATAATTACAAACCATTTTAATACTATTGAAATTGTTACGGGAGATAGAAAAATACATTTCCTAAATTTTAATATGTTATACATATACAATGTAACTGAAATGCAATTAATTATCAGAATATTTTATCTATATTAGGTTATATTCTACTTGATACATATGTACGAGTATACGCTGCAAGGTAAATTTTTGAGAAAACTGAAGTTTAATCTTTTTTTTATACTGTCCTTTGTCTTTTTCAGTTGGTTAAAAAATTTAACTATTATTTCGTAATAACTTATAAAATTTTTCAAATACGTTTTCTGCGGAAATATTTTACTATTGACGTTGGTAATTGATTAAATTCCCAACATATATAGAACATTTTGACCTAGTAAAGAAAGTGTGATAAGATATTTTAATGTAATAAATATTTGAATATTCATATTTATTTCACATTTTCAACTAATACAATTTAAGCATAAATAGCATCAATATTTATTAAATAGTTAAATACAAACAAATACAAATTATTATTATTGTTACATACCGCAATAGGTTAATGATTCCAAAAAGTAAGAGACAATTGACTACCATAATTTGTTTCAATTTCGGAATTGAGTTTCCTTTCCTTTTTATATTGAATTCTGACTTTCGGTCTTAATAAGTACTTTTGGCATCTAAATCATTGTTTTATTTATCAGCGTAAGTGCTGCGTCGAAAAATTTGTTAGTATCCTGGTTTATATTGATAATCCGGTATATAGCAAGATTGTCAAGTTTCATATGAAATCGCCAAATCTTGAAGTAAACAAATTGAATTGGCAAGTAATTGACAAAAGTATCGACAAAAATATTATAATCAAATAAGGTTTTAAAATCGTGATTAGAAGTATACGAAAAAATACGAGTGCCATAAGTTCAATTTTAATTCTTAATGTCGACTCTTAAATATTTCGTTTGTAACTATGCTATATCCTGACTTGGACTTTATTACAATAAATTGTTCTATCTACATTTTAAATGTATTCTTTTTAACTAATTATTTAACTTCATAAATGATATATAAAATATTTTAAGATAGAAATGCAGTTAGGATATAGGTTTTGCACTTTAAATTCACCTTTTTGCAAATCAAATTTATCCTTTTATAAATCAAATTCAGCATTTTGCAAATTAAATTTACCCTTCAGCAAATCAAGAATTTGTACATAAATATTTTATTTAAAAAAAACATGTAATATAAATTAGTCGGTAAGAAATAATAAATTTTATTACAAGGATATATACATGATGTATTAGGTATTTATTTAAAAGTAATTACCAATTCATTAAAATGTATTATATACATGTATTGGATATCTTAATTAATTTGATTTGCAAAAAGGTGAATTTAAAGTGTAAGACCTGTAAATGAATGTGGCTGTTCCCAGATTTCTACAAAGCATTCAGTACATTTTAACATTACGTGAAAGGTAAAAAGGTCTAGAATTTTGAAAATTTCAACGTATTTAAAACAATGAAAAAATGTGATATAGGAAATTTAACTTAGAAAGGCAGATTTGGCATAATGAAAGAATGATACATATGATTTAAGAGGTAAAAATATTTATAACAAATTGAACAGCAAATAATAGTAGTTGTTAAAGTAGTAATAATTAAAACCGTTAATTGAAATTATATAAATACAAACACAATTACACTTATAATTATACAAATACAATTATACATAACTACAAATTTAATTTAAATGTATTTGTTACATTGTAATCCCGTATACTTTATATTTACTATAATATACTTTAGAAATAATAAATTAATTTAAATAAAGAAAGATATGGATTACCATGAAATATTACTTCAGTTGACAACAGTTGATGGAACTAGAAATGGTATAATTTTTCATATATTAAATAAGTAACATGTAAACAAATTTCAACAAAATTTTAACAATTTTATACATTGCAGAAGAGATTAAAGACTTTGATGAACAGTTACAACAAGTTTTACAAAAAATACAATCAATTTTAACGAAAGATGATAAAAAGTTCATAATTGACAACATTGAAGAAGAAGATGAATTGCTTGATATTGGGTAATATAATTTTATAAGATACCTTTTACAAGTTATCTAAAATTTTATGGAAATATTTAAAAATATTTGTCATTAATTTCAGTACTATAAATATTTTTTATATTTTTAGATATCAATACATCTATACTATTGTACATGTTTTGCAAAATATAAAAATATGTAATTCTACAAACAACGAATCTCTATTTAGTGTTAAACAATTTCATACTTTAAAAGTTTGTATAAAACTGATAACCGCAATAGGAATTATACCTTGTCTTTTACCTGGTGTTGGAATTGATATAACTAAATTGTGTTCTAGAACTTTACTAATCTGTGGGAAAAATTTAACAGACTTACAAGTATGAATTATATTTAATACAATTAATAATAAAATAAAAACTAAAGAAATTTAGTTTAGTTCCTTCATTCTAGAAATATAGAAGATTACAATTCACAGTTAATTCTCTCATACAATTATATGATGAAATTATATTTCGTCCTGTTATAATTGCTCAGATAGGACCATTATTGGCTGCGCTTTTACAATTATCTTATGCTCCATTGATGAAACCATCTAAAAATACTACATTAATTCTAAAAGAAAATAGAAGCAATAAATTTATAATGACTGCAGATCTATATGATAAGTTAAAAAAAGATCAAGAACATTTCACATGTTTGCTTCATCAATTATTAAATAACTGTCCCTTGTCTACGAGTATGAAAGAATTGATGGTAATTCTTGGCAGTGAAGGTGCCCCAAAATGGCTTCAACGTGAAACTCGTAAATATTTAGTACAGCAACTTATGAAATCTAATGGAGTTGTTTCAATCATAGCTGCTGTTTGTGAAGATATCTTGGATCTTGGAGAACATTGGAATAAATTGGGTATTATTTCCAAGTTAATAGCTACATCACATGGGAATACTCCTGATAAGTATTATAAATCCATATGCCCGCAGGTAGTATAAATTACTCTTGAATCAGTAATCTACATTTATTTTTGTAAATAGTTAATAATTTTTAAATAAATTTTATTTATTTCAGTTATTAAATCTTCTAGCATCAACACAGATCAAATATTCAACGACAATAGGAAACTGCTGTATAACTGCACTTTATGAATACAATCCTACTGTTTGTCTTACTGACATTGTTGGTGTAATATGCAGTCCATTATTAGTGAAAAATAAAGAAGAGATGTCAAAAAGCGAGTATGAAGTAGAAAAATGTATTGAAACTTTGACAAAATGTTTCATAACTGTGGAAGCTAAATTTAAACAATTGCCTTGTCAACTTTTAATGAATATAGCTGTTCCTCTATTTTCATTGTATAATAATGTTAGACAAAGTGTTTGCATACTGAAAACTAAAATTAAACAACTTATATTGCTACTTTTATATGAAGAATCATCAAGAAATGATCTTTTTGCTGCATTTCTTGGGCATAATTTAACCAATAAATTTGGCTATCATTTGAAGTCAATATTTGGACCAACTGGTGGAATTGAAATTATAGGAATAGATAATGCTAATAAATATGAAGAATTTGCAGACAGCCTTTTTGATCTAACATTTAATACAGCAGTATTATCGACTAAATTATTCTCTTATCTATTACAATTTTTGTCACATCTTCTAAAATTAGATTATCAAAAAGAAGTTGGAAATTTGTTAGAAACTGAAGATGATATAGTAAAAATGCTCGAGAAACAGTTATTAGCTGTAAAACTTTTATCAAATTTAGCTAATATATGTGCCGTACAAGAAGCACAAATTGAAAATCCAAAATCAATAATTTGTTTTATAAAATCATTATTTAATCAATATTTGAGGAAAATACAGAATTTACCAGAAGAAGATGATTGTGAGATCTTGTACGTCAGCTTAATGTTAGTAAAAATGATTTTAAGTGATAGTACAAAACCTTTAGATTGGACAACATTTAGCGATTTCATAGAATTCTTAAAGCAATGTTGTTTTGTTTCAAACATGCCATCTCAGTTATTGTTATTGACACGAGAATTAATAGAATTGATTGAAACTCAAGATAAATCGAAACGAAAACATTATGAAGATTTATCAGTGGAATGTAAACCAGCAAAAAAATTTGAAGAAGCGCTTAAAGATCTTGCAGATCCATTACTACCTGTGCGTGCACATGGGCTTATAGTACTAACCAAACTAATTGAAAATAAGGATCCATGTGTTATTGCAAGAAAAATGTTTTTTTTACAAATATTTAAGGTAGGTAAAGAGAATCTCCTCATAATTTAAATTTCTAATAATCTTATATATAT